CAATGTTCAAAATCGTCCTGTGCAATAAAAACATCGGACATATACGATATGTAATTATCTATTTTATTATATTTGTTGCAAATACTTTTATAACACGGACTAGCTGCATGCCAAAATGAACATTAAAAAAGTATTCTATTCGACCTATAATATTAATCGCTAATAAATTTAAAAATAACTTTCCGACGAGTTAGAGATTTGAAACTTTAAACAGCACTGGAAACGTGGGAAAAATTGTCGCATTTTTGAATTGTTATTTTAATGAAGTAGTTTTACAAGGTGTGGGAGTTTTGAGTTTAAGTTATTTTTTATAGAATAAGGGTGACAAACGAGCCCACAGTCCACTTGATTGTAAGCTAATACTGTGGCCCATAGATATGTATCTATACATATCCTCCATTAAAATTCAATATAACCCAAGCAGCCGACTTCATAGAGAAAAAGGGGATATTTATAATGAACTCTTTATTCCAGAAGTAAGTAGAGTTTCGTCGGTCATTATGATAACGAGACGCCATCTGTTCAGTGATGTCTCGGTGATTGCGAGTGTGAAAACAAGCAGCGATCACCGAATGATGAGAGACACACTAAACCTAAATGTTAAATTGGAGAGATCACGTACTAAGGAAGTTAACGGTCCGTCCCCTCCGGCTCTAATCTAAAGTCCTGAAGACTTTTTTCAGCTTCAGTGCCTAGAGGACTGCAATACAGTGGACGATATAAATGCCAAGCTCGTGTAAACTGTCCAAGAGCCGGAGCTAAGTTTTACAAGAATAGTCGCAGAAAAACCCAAAATCTCTCCGATCAAACTCCTAATCTCATAGCTGTGAGACGGGAAACGAAGCTGCAGTTTTCAGCAGATATGACAACCTGCAGGCAACTGAACCGCAGATATCTAGGATTTATGCATATTTAATACGGTTAGCGGAACCAAGGCTCCAAAGTCTTTGCTAAAGATCTTAGATCAAAGTCGTTGGAGCCACGCGCAAGTGTGAGTAACAATCAAAGAGCAAGTCTTATCCAACACTATTCCGATGATATTCGGACGTCAGTCTGAGCGTGATTAGAATGGATCTCCAGCACCTTGAAAATGGCAAGGCTCCCGACGAGAATGGAATTACAGTGTGGTTTCTGAAAGCAGGTAGAAAACCAGTACTTCAAGTTCTTCAGAAGTTCTTCAATTTCGTCCTCCATGGACAATATATTGCATGGAAAATATATTGGTCTTGTTCTTCGAGAAAGGCGACAACGATCTGTTGAAGAACTACCGATTGACTTTTCTTCTGAGCCGCGTCTATGTGCTGTTTTAGAGAGTCATTATGAATCGTCTCGCACGCAGACTCGACGACTTCCGAATTTTATTTGGAGATGAGCTGAGTCTTGTCGATACCACCATATTTCTTGGAATCATACTAGACGCAAAGCTGCAATGGTGTCCCATATATCATAAATAGCAAGCAGACTTAGTTCTGTAGCATAAGCTATAAAATTTAGATTAGAAGTCTTATGTTGAAACAGCTAGACTAGTTTACTTTAGCTATTTCAATAGCATATTGCCGTATGGTATTTTGCTATGGGGACACGTGACTGACACTGAAATTATATTTGTTTTACAGAAGACGACCATTAGAGCAATATATGATTTAAAACCAAAAGAGTCGCTCAGACAAAAATATAAGGAAATTAATATATTAACTCTGGCCTCTCAATACGTTTATGAAAATGTAATGTACGTACCCAAAAATAAAAGTAGTTATACAGAAATAAGTGATATTCATTCTGTAAATACAAGGAACAGACACAAGCTTCTAGTACCAGTTATTTGACTCCACCAAATCAGTAATTCATTCTTAGGGCGATATATACTCCTTTACAACAAAATCCCAGAAAATATACAAAAGTTGACCTGCACAAAGTTCAAAAACTTTATTAAACTAAGTTTGTATAAAAACGGTTATTATAATATTAGAGGTTTATGGATGATAATAGCCCCTGGGAAAAGTGATAGTTACCAAGCTATTTCTAATTTGTTTTGTGTTTATAATTGTAACATACATGAGCTGTTTTGTTTAAAGTTTCGCTGGGCTTCTTGCTGATTCTTCCCAGCACAGAATTTTTTTCGAACCAATGGCAAATTTAAAAAAAGTGACTTTCAATAAGTGTTATTTATATTCTACATTGAATAAAAAAGTTTCTCTTTCTGTTATTGCTCCCCAGCATTATCGGATATACAACGACATAACCATTATTTACTCTCGTATTAAACAACAATTTGATTACCCAAAGATATGGTTATTGAATGGGATTTTAGCCAGTAATTTTACTGTTATCGCCTTCACCGCATGGATGTACTCCCAGATTATGTCACTATTATTACACACGTTTTGTTTTTTTTAAATAATTTTTATGTGTGCCGTATTTCATAATTAAATACGTATTTTTACGTGGTAGAGCCACATTGAAGCGATATTATGTTTGTAGTATGAATGAGTCGGCTCGACCGGGGTGGGACCACGCTCACAGAAAACCACAGTAAAATAGCAGCTTAATGCTTGTTGTAATGTGTTTCTTATGATGAGTGTAGAGAAACGGAGACCCTTTTTATTGATGTTAAGTGAGGCATTCCATCGTAGTCCTCAGGGGTGATAACGTATCTGTAGTTTGTCAAGCCAGTAAAGGCTAAAGCAACAGCTAACAATATATATTATTTTTTGAAATGTGTCCTTTCATTTGACGCCCACGGTATCAAAATTTTTTTAGTTCATGACTTTATGTTACTCTAGAGGGCGCTATATTCTACTTCCTATATCGAAGGAAGCGTCGTTAGTCTATCCAATGGTGCTCTGTTTTCGGAAAAAGAAGCTGATGATGAAAGAGCTTAGAAATACAGAGAATGAGAAATTGAATACAGAAGAAGATAGTTGTAATGTATAATGCACGTAATGATACTTTGTAATACCGTAGTGTAAACATTTAGAACATACCTGCCTCATTGCAGAGCAAACTACTAAACTCATATAAAACTTCAGTAGAGCGATTTAGTATGCATACCTCCGGTGAGCTCGTAATATATCGAAATTGAGGGTCGGAAATTACTTCTATTAATCTAACAAAGCTAATTTGTAAAATAGATAAAGTCGGTGTGGTGTTAGTTATTAAAGGTGTAATTTGGATTACGAAAACAGCTTAAAATTTATTGAAGTTACCGTACTTACGTAGCGGGAATGAAAGAACATTCCTACGTTCAGGAATTTGTTTTTGTGTGAGGGCACTATATTTAGTCAAAAAAATTCAAACTTTAATAAAAACAAAAAGATGACCTAAAAGAAATAAAATAATTTCCACATAACAGCTTCAGAAGCCAATACTAATACATCTATTTAATAGATCAAATTGAAGAAAAATCTCTTTGGTTGTACTGTTTGTATCTGGCTGGTTTTAATATCAATAAATATAGAACATTAACAAAAATAAAAGTAAAAAACTTTCTCGCCATTTTTCAATTATTTTTCTGTCCGCCAAAACGAATGAATCTAACGAAGAAATTCGATACATTCTGAAGTGTTATTACAAAAAAGGGAAAAAGGCGACTTATGCCGCAAAAAAATGTGACGTTTATGGAACTAATGCAGTGTCATTAAGAGTAGCACATAGGGGTCGCAATATCGACCTCTTTTTCAAAAACCGGTGTTTTCGGTATTAGTTTTTAATGAATACCGAGATTTCGGTAGTTTCGGTATTTTCGTTCTTATTTTAACATAGTGAGAAAAATATTTAAAAATATGTAATGTAACCGTAATTTTCATAAGGGAATTGTCACCAGCCAATCAATAGAAGTGTGATATGATAAGAAAATCCCATTTATTTAAAAAAAAATCAATCATTTATTTAAAGTTTAACTCACTGCTGCTAAGTTATTTTAAACTATTTAAACATAAGAAACCTCCAGTAATCAACCTTAACAATAACATAAAATACTCCTGCTAAGTAACTTCTTCATAGGCTTCATGTTCTTATAAACTTCTTCATTATCCTCAACTTTAATAAAACATAAAATGCTCTTGGGCGATTTATCTTTTTTTTCTTCACTTTTTCATGGAAATCGAGTAAGAGCTTTCTTTGCTCTGTGGTGTAGTTAGAAAAAGTCATATATATTCTTCAGTTTACGATCATCTAAAACTTCTATGAACGTTAAAATCTACCACCGGTTCCAAAAGCGATATCTCTAGAGAAGGAGAAAATTTTTTATGGAGCACGTCTAATATCGGTAACTGTATACCATGAGCAAGGCATCGCTGGTGGAAAAGTGCTGCTTCTCTTCCAAATGCGATCATTACACTGGCACCGTCATTAGTTGTATAGGCGAGCGGGCGGATTCGTCGTCGGCTCAGGACTCGGGAGTAAGTACTCTCTCTCACTCACTCCAGAGTGTAGTCGCGCGACTTGCGTTGCATAGTCGAGCCGCGTTGCCATAGCATCCACCACGCGAAAAGCGTGGGCTATTTAAATTTTTTGACATAATATTATTTAACAAAGATTTATAATGAAATACCGAAAAGTCGTAAATACCGGTTTCCGTTCACTCAATTCCGGTATTTTAAAGCTTTCGTTTCAGTCCGGTATCCCGGTATTTTCGAGATTCGGGATCCCGGTTTGCGACCCCTAGTAGCACAAAGTTGGTTCAATCGTTTCAGTCCGGGAATTTTGATGTCAAAAATGCAGCTCACTCTAGTCGCCCTCATACGGATAAAATCGATGTCATTTTTGAAAAAGTGGAGTAAGATCGGCATATTAGTAAATACCGCCAAGGATTAAATAGAATTTTTTTTTTAATTAGATTAAAGAGAAATAAAATATTTTATATTCGTATTTGTAATTGCTGTTTAAACTATACTATGAGATATCTTTCGATTATAAGGATATCTTACATGCAATACTTTGCAAAAAAGAAACAAACAACAAATTAAATGTTTTATTTTGGTTATGAAAAATTGCAACATTTAATCGCTGTTACTTAAAGGCGGTATTCCAGGTATATCGAATGAAAATACCCGAGGATCAGCAGGATCAGATGATCCCAGGATCAGCTCTTCATAATTTGATCCTGGGACTGACTCACCATCCTGCTCAGTGTCAGCGGAATCACTCGCATCACTGTCCGAATCTTGCCCCACTCGAATGAATAATTCTTCTGTTATTTGGTGTTCTATATGATCACTTTTGCGATAATCGTCTTCTAATTGTTTAACTTTGCCGCAGATATTTCGCCACTCGTCGACACCCTTGGCATTAACTTTTTCTTTTATAAGTTCTATAACAGGTTTAATATTTCATTCAACGTTCTTGCTACTAACATAGCCTTTTATTTGCAACCCATTTCTACGGCATTTAGTTTGAGGTGATGTGGTGGTAAACGGAGGACTTTGTGACCATGTTCTCCTAATATTTTATCTATACTGAATTTTCTAAATCCTTCTTTATTCTGTTAATTATTAATTATAATTTAATTTGTAAAATTGAGGTTTGCAGAGTTCAGGACTAAATATTATCCGGTTATTTCTCAGTCAAGCATCCATTTCCCCTTTTTTGGCATTTGAGTTAGGGGCAGAGTCATATTCTTTATTACGATATGACGCATTGTTAACTATCACGACTGATCTTGGTGGAAGATTTGGTATCAATTGAGTTTTTAACCATCTTTCATAATTTACATAATTCATATCGCCGTGGTAGTCTCCGCTCTTTGTACCGGACTTAAACAATAACAATGCGTTTGGTATAAATCCAGACTCAGATCCAACGTGCACAATCACTACGTGCTAACTTTTTGAGATAGGCTTTTTTAAATCTGCGATCGATACATCAGACCATGATTTTGTAGTACCATGCGAGGAATGGACGTATGATTCATCCGTATAAATTATAAGTCTATTTTCTTCTCTGTACTTTTTTATTTTCCGCAAGTAATTCATTCGCAATAATCTTATTGTTTTCTATTGTTCTCCATCTCAAACCTAAATTATTCATTATCCGTCGGAGACTCGTCTCAGAATCGCTGAAGCTTAAATCAGTTTTTAATTTCTTCTTAAAACCTTCTAGAGGAAGGTTTTTGACAGGAGGAATTTCTTCATTAATGATTTGAAAATTATGAATTGTTCTTTTAATTACGCCTTGGTCAAAATTATCTATACTTGTTACGGGAAAAGTCCGGCTTCTTTTTTTCCCATGCGTTCTTAACTCCTCAATCCCAATAAAAAGCGCATGCAGCCGCATGCACCCGGGAAATCCGGAGCGTTCGCATGCGACCGCACCCACCCGCAGTACTTAAAACCATTAAAAACATAACATAAACACTCACGCCTGTCACTCAGAGGGGTAGGCAGAGACTACAGACTTCCATTTGGTACGATCCTGATATACCTCTTTCACCTCCTTTACATCCATATATCTACGCATACATGCTCGTCGGTTAAGGGTACTTCTAACGTGGCCCATTTTAAAAATATCGCCAATTTGGTCGATAAACTTTTTTCTAGGGCGTCCCTTCCCGACTCTGCCGTTCACATCTGCCATGCTTTGTCACTCTTTCCTCATTCATTCTTTCTACATGACCAAACCACCGAAGCATTCCTTCCTTAATCCTGGTCACAACATCATCTTGCATACCACATTTATCTCTTATCACGCAATTTCTCACCCTGTCATTCAGATTCAACCCTAGCATACTCCTTAAAGACCGCATTTCTACAGCATTTATTCTACTTTCGTGCTTCTTCTGCCACACCCAGCTTTCACTACCATACATTAAAGTAGGGACTAACACAGAATTATGAATTACCTTACGTGTCTTTTTTGACAGATTCTGGTTCTTCATAAGAGTGTAGTGCCCCATTCACTCTATTCCCTGCATTTACTCGTCGTTCTATATTCTTATCATATCTACCATCCCTGCTAAATACACATCCCAAATACACAAACTCATCCACTTACTCAATTAACTCTCCTTCTATTTATTTCACATACCGTTTTGCTTTCTTCTCTTTCAAAAACCATCACTTTCGTCTTATTTGCGTTCACTTTCATTCCTTTAATGTCCAGTTCATTAATGTAACCATAATTTGCAACTCAGCCTCCGATGACGCAAATATGACTTGATCATCGGCGTACAAAAGGCATTTGACTAACTCGCCCATTCTCAACCCACATTCTTCATCTTTCAAAGTTTGCAAACATTGTCCATAAATAGATTGAACAGCCAAGGGGAAGCTACACAGCCCTGTCTGACACCTTTTTGTATGCCAAACCAGTCCGAGTAGACCCCATTGATCCTGACACAAACACTAGAGTCGTCCCTATAAAGAGACCTTAATGCCTGTTTCAAACCAGCGCTCAACCCATTTCAGTTCAGTGTTTGCCATAACACATTCCTGTCCACTCTGTCATAAGCCTTTTTCGAAGTCCATGAACGCACAAAAAACTTTCTGGTTTTTGGCCAAAAACTTCTCCGCAATCATGCGCATGGAAAAGACTTGATCTGTACACCCCATTCCCTTTCTAAAACCCGCTTGCACATTCCAAATTTTTCCATCAGTTTCTTTCATAACTCTTTCAATTAACACCTTAGCATACAGTTTTCCCACAACACTAAGCAAGCTGATACCACGGTAGTTTTTGCAGTCCTGCTGTGACCCTTTTCCTTTATATATTGGTACTATAACTGCTTTACATCAGTCATCCGGTACCCGTTTTAATTCCCAACATAAATTAAACAAGGTGTACAGCAGGCTTGCCACCACTACCTCTCCAGCCCTTAGCATCTCGAGTGATACTCTATCATATCCAGCTGCCTTACCTGCTTTCATGCTTTTCATTGCTTTCATTATTTCATCTACACTTATCTCCATACCCCTTTCCACTTCTTTCGGAATTTCTAGTTCATTTAATTCCTTTAGAGACGACTCTTCACTCATAAACACGCTTTCAAAGTATTCCTTCCATCTGTTTAAATTATAACTTCATCATTCAGAATACATCCATTCTCGTCTCTTATAGCATTAATTATAGACTGTTTTGTATTTCCCCTGGCAGTTCTTACGAGTTTCCAGAACATTTTTATATTAGCCTGGAAATTATCAGATATCCTTCCATCATTCTTATCCGTTCTTTCTTTCTTTTTCCTTTCAACCACTTCTTTTACTCTCTGATTTTGACTTCTAAATTCTGCCTTTTTTCTTTCAATCTCATCATTCATACCACCAGCTTTGATTGCTAGTAAATCTAACGATGCTTTCTTCTTTGATTCAACTTCCACCCGTAACTCATCATCCCATCATAACGTATTACTTTTCCTTTCATTACTTACACCACATACTTCGGTGGCTGCATCCACCAAACCTTTCTTAATATTATCACACACTGTATTCAAGTCTAAATCATTCATACACAACTCATTCAAACATCTAATATTTTCTCTCAGTCTACATTTATACTTCTCTTTCACATCTTCATCTTGTAACTTCTCTATTCTTATACGCTGTAACGCAGTGGTAGACACAGATGTCCGATGCCGCCAACGCTTGAAAAGACCATTAATTCGACATAAGACTAAGTAATGATCCGTGCCTACGTTGGACCCCCGGTAAACCCTTGTATCTACGACTGCGCTCCTCATTTTTTCATCCACAATTACGAAATCTATCATGCTTCTATCATCACCTCTTTCCCATGTATACATGTGAATCTTCTTATGACGAAAAAAAGTATTCGTCACAAAAAGATTCTTTTCCACACATACTGTGAGGAGGTCTTCACCATTCTCATTTATACTTTCATCACCAAACGTTCCCAATATCCTTTCATAACCAGACCTCTTCACCCCAACCCTTCCATTAAAGTCTCCTAACATAATAATATTTTCATTTTCCTTACAGTTTGTCAACAACATCCTTACCATGTCCCAAAACTGCTCTCGGATGTAAGTGGGCTTAGACATGGCTGGGGCGTACACACCTAGCACGAACAGCTTCTTTGAGCCCACTTTCATTCGTATCCATAGCAGCGTCGGGCTTACACATTCATACTCTTTCACACATTGACCCACTCTTTCTGAAAGGATGAAACAGGCAGCCCTTCTCGTCTACACCAGACCAATACGCGGTATACGCGCCATGTGCAGTGGCATCGTTTCCCTTTCGTTTCGTCTCATTTACACATAACACAACTATTCCTCTGTCATTCATCATTTCGCATACTTCATCCATCTTATCATTAATTCCTCCACATACATCCAGCGTAGCCAGATGAGTTTCCGCAATCCACTTTTCGCCCCTCCAGGAAGCAGAACGTGACGGGTGGCGAACCTCATCACCGGTTTTTCTCCCGGAGATTCTTTGCAGCCCTGCCCCATTAAAGGGGCGCCGGGAACTCGGGGCCATTTCTTTTATTTCCTGACTCATGGTGCGAACAATGGGTGGTGGTAGATTTTACGCCGCTACCATACGGCGAGGGGCCGAGTCTATTTTTTCGGCTTTGTCGCTCGTTTAGCACCACCCGGGGGGGCACATGTAGGGTGGGCCTAAAGTTAGGTGGTCGAAGCCTACGGACGCGAGCGACTCATCCCCCTAAAACTTATATTTAGAGATTACTTTTCTATGAAGAAGTTTGGCATTATAAAATCTATACCAAATTCTCTATCTTGTAGTCTAAACAAAAGTCAGGTTTTACTTCATTACAAAAAGATTTTATTGTATTTTGATAACAAAAAAAAAAAAGAACATACCAAGCGAATATCGGCAGTGTGAAATTCACAATTATTTCAATATATATTACTTGAAATTATTTACGTAAAAAGATAAATTATATTCCCACAAAAACTTTCATAATAATAACATTCACGAAATAAACTTAGATTGTAAATAAATATCCATAGGATAACTTGTCTGTTTATTGCACTAGAGGATAGAGAATTTCATATTGATTCTATAATGCTAAACTTCTTTACAGAAAAGTAGTCTCTACATTTAAATTTTTTATAGTTTAGTGCTGTGAATGTGTGTATTTCAAGTTGTGAATCCGACCGCTTGGATTTTGACGGAATAGCGCCACGTTCGGATTCGATCGCTTGGGGACTGAGAGTTTAACATGGCTAACAAATCAGTCTGACTTGCTTCCTTTACGATTCTCCAAACAGTAGACACTGTAATTTTGGTAGCTCTAGTTACCCGTTTTATTAATTCAAATTTTTTCAGTCCACTATTTTCGTCCTTCATAAAACAATACACATCAAAAACCATTTTTTGTGCTTGACTTCAAATTGCACGTTTTTTAGGGGCCATTCTTGTAGAAAATAACAAAATATTTACAACTTTATACATTATACTACGAACTACGCTATTTTAAATAGTCTAAATACAATTTACAAAATAATAAATATTTACATACTACTTGCAAATAGTATACAACAATATTTTTAAAAGTCCAAAAATAATCGTAAATATTCAATAAAATAAAAATTATTAAATAAAAAATTTATAACAGGTAGGCGCTAACACTTTTGATATCGATAGTACGCAAAACGACACAAGTACGTGCGCGGGCGACGAGACCCGTAGCGCGTCACCCGTTGCTATGGTTTCGCCTCCTCGTACCTCATACCGCACCGTACTTCCACCTGGCTGTTTATCGCTTCTGCGCAGTTTCATGACTTGTGGCGTGACGGTAGCTATACATAAATAATTTATTAGAGTGGACGTAAGCAATAAACTGTAATATAGATATCTAAAATTAAATATAATTATATATTGCAAATACAATTTAATCAGTATAATTAATTAATTAGTAATAAAAATACATAATAAGGAAATTTTAACATGTACTTTTTACGGTTAACGCTATTGAAAACATATCATTTTATTGCGTTGAAAGTTAAAATTTGACACAATGCTGATTTTCAGTTCCAATCTTCGTGACATTC